TGGAGCTGGAGGAATCAGGCTGCCTGACTTCAGACTATACTACAAAGCTACAGTAATCAAGACAGTATGGTACTGGCACAAAAACAGAAAGATAGATCAATGGAATAGGATAGAAAGCCCAGAGATAAACCCATGCACATATGGTCACCTTATCTTTGATAAAGGTGGCAGGAATATACAGTGGAGAAAGGACAGCCTCTTCAATAAGTGGTGCTGGGAAAACTGGACAGGTACATGTAAAAGGATGAGATTAGATCACTCCCTAACACTATACACAAAAATAAGCTCAAAATGGATTAAAGACCTCAATTTAAGGCCAGAAACTATCAAACTCTTAGAGGAAAATATAGGCAGAACACTCTATGACATAAATCACAGTAAGATCCTTTTTGACCCACCTCCTAGAGAAATGGAAATAAAAATGAGAATAAACAAATGGGACCTAATGAAACTTCAGAGCTTTTGCACAGCATAGGAAACCATAAACAAGACCAAAAGACAGCCCTCAGAATAGGAGAAAATATTTGCAAGTGAAGCAACTGACATAGGATTAATTTCCAAAATTTACAGGCAGCTCATGCAGCTCAATAACAAAAAAATAAACAACCCAATCCAAAAATGGGCAGAAGACCTAAATAGACATTTCTCCAAAGAAGATATACAGACTGCCAACAAACACATGAAAGAATGCTCAACATCATTAATCATTAGAGAAATGCAAATCAAAACTACAATGAGATATCATCTCACACCAGTCAGAATGGCCATCATCAAAAAATCTAGAAACAATAAATGCTGGAGAGGGTGTGGAGAAAAGGGAACACTCTTGCACTGCTGGTGGGAATGTGAATTGGTTCAGCCACTATGGAGAACAGTATGGAGGTTCCTTAAAAAACTACAAATAGAACTACCATATGACCCAGCAATCCCACTACTAGGTATATACCCTGAGGAAACCAGAATTCAGAAAGAGTCATGTACCAAAATGTTCATTGCAGCTCTATTTACAATAGCCCGGAGATGGAAACAACCTAAGTGCCCATCATCGGATGAATGGATAAAGAAGATGTGGCACATATATACAATGGAATATTACTCAGCCATAAAAAGAAACGAAATTGAGCTATTTGTAATGAGGTGGATAGACCTAGAGTCTGTCATACAGAGTGAAGTAAGTCAGAAAGAGAAAGACAAATACCATATGCTAACACATATATATGGAATTTAAGGAAAAAAATGTCATGAAGAACCTAGGGGTAAGACAGGAATAAAGACACAGACCTACTGGAGAATGGACTTGAGGATATGGGGAGGGAGAAGGGTGAGCTGTCACAAAGCAAGAGAGAGGCATGGACATATATACACTACCAAACGTAAAGTAGATAGCTAGTGGGAAGCAGCTGCATAGCACAGGGATGTCAACTCGGTGCTTTGTGACCCCCCTGGAGGGGTGGGATAGGGAGGGTGGGAGGGAGGGAGACGCAAGAGGGAAGAGATATGGTAACATATGTTTATGTATAACTGATTCACTTTGTTATAAAGCAGAAACTAACACACCATTGTAAAGCAATTATACCCCAATAAAGATGTTAAAAAAAAAGTCTAGAAACAATAAATGCTGGAGAGGGTGTGGAGAAAAGGGAACACTCTTGCACTGCTGGTGGGAATGTGAATTGGTACAGCCACTATGGAGAACAGTATGGAGGTTACTTTAAAACCTACAAATAGAACTACCATATGACCCAGCAATCCCACTACTGGGCATATACCCAGAGAAAATTATAATTCAAAAAAAGTCATGTACCAAAATATTCATTGCAGCTCTATTTACAATAGCTAGGAGATGGAAACAACCTAAGTGTCCATCATTGGATGAATGGATAAAGAAGATGTGGCACATACATACAATGGAATATTATCAGCCATACAAAGAAACGAAATTGAGCTATTTGTAATGAGGTGGATGGACCTAGAGTCTGTCATACAGAGTGAAATAAGTCAGAAAGAGAAAGACAAATACCGTATGCTAACACATATATATGGAATTTAAGGAAAAAAAATGTCATGAAGATCCTAGGGGTAAGACAGGAATAAAGACACAGACCTACTAGAGAATGGACTTGAGCACACGGGGAGGGGGAAGGGTAAGCTGTGACAAAGTGAGAGACTGGCATGGACATATATACACTACCAAACGTAAAATAGCTAGCTAGTGGGAAGCAGCCGCATAGCACTGGGAGATCAGCTCGGTGCTTTGTGACCACCTAGAGGGGTGGGATAGGGAGGGTGGGAGGGAGGGAGACGCAAGAGGGAAGAGATATGGTAACATATGTTTATGTATAACTGATTCACTTTGTTATAAAGCAGAAACTAACACACCATTGTAAAGCAATTATACTCCAATAAAGATGTAAAAAAATATATATGTACGACCCTGATTGACAATGCATCTGGTCACCCAAGAGCTCTGATGGAGATGTACAATGAGATTAATGTTGTTTACATGCCTGCTGACACAACATCCATTCTGCAGCCCATGGATCAAAGAGTAGTTTCAACTTTTAAGTCTTACTCAAGAAATACATTTCATAAGACTATAGCTACCATAGGTGATGATTCCTTTGATGGGTCTGGGCAAAGTCCATTGAAAACATACTGTAAAGGATCACCATTCTAGATGCCATTAAGAACATTCATGATTCATGGGAAGAGGTCAAAATATCAACATGAACAGGAGTTTGGAAGAAGTTGATTCCAGTCCTCATAGATGTCTTTGAGGGGTTCACAACTTCAGTGGAGGAAATAACTGCAGATTTGGTAGAAACAGAACTAGAATTAGAAGAGGAGCCTGAAGATGTGACTGACTTGCTGCAAATCTCATGATAAACTAACAGATGAGGAGTTGCTGCTCATGGATGAGCAAAGAGAGCAGTTTCCAGAGATGGAATCTGCTCCTGGTAAAGATGCTGTGAAGATTGTTGAAATGACAACAAAGGACTTAGAATATTATATAAACTTAGTTGATAAAGCAGCAGCAAGGTTTGAGAGGATTGTCTCCAATTTTGAAAGAACTTCTGCTGTGGATAATATGCTATCAAACAGAACTGCATGTAACAGAGAAATCATTTGCGAAAGGAAGAGTCAATCTATGTGGCAGATTTCATTGTCGTCTTATTTTAAGAAATTGCCACAGTCACCCCAGCCTTCAGCAGCCAGCACCCTGATCAGTCAGCAGCCATCAACATTGAGGCAAGACCCTCCGCCAGCAAAGAGATTACAGTTTGCTGAAGGCTCAGATGATGGTTAGCATTTTTTAGCAATAAATGATTTTTAATTAAGTTATATGTATTGATTTTTTTAAGACATAATGCTGTTGCACACTTAATAGACTATAGTATAGAATAAACATAACTCATATACAGTGGGAAACCAAAAAATTCATGTGACTCACTTTATTGTGATATTCACTTTATTGAGGTGGCCTGGAACTGAACCCACAATATCTCTGAGGTATGCCTATAGTCATACCTTCCTGTTACAAGAATAGCATAAAGATGGAGATATTTATAGGGGTGTCAGGCCAACCTTGTTAGCTGTGCACCTTCTAATTACCAGTGGCCAGATCATCTGTATAACGTGAGCTCATCTCCAGAGGTCATACAAAACCCTGTGGGCTCTAAAGCGCCTTCTCTGGCTGGCATAACCAAGTTCTCATTAAGCCCTAAAATACTGTATATACACATAGAGTAACTCATTAGAGGCAGTTAAAGGAATGAAGTCCAGAAAAGCGGGCATCTAGGCCTGCATAATGCAGGAGCCACTGAAACTCTGTGTAATTGCCCACCCACTAATCTGTCCTTAATGGGACAACATGATCTTAAGTTTTAGGAGCTTAAACCTTCTAACTCTAAAGAAAGACGTTCAAAAAGACTTTAGCTTCAGAATTAAATACCATTGCCTTTCCTATATAGCCCTCTTCTGTTCTATTTCCTCTTATTTTCAAATTATTAACCCCATAAACCAGTGCTCAACAAACTCTAGGGGGCCCTTATTCAACATTTGGTATGTGGCCAGAAATGGCAGTGCTGACACATATTCTCAACATTCTTCAACCAAATTAATTAACCTTTATGTTGACTGTACCTAACGCTGTGCAGAAGAGTTAGAGCTGGTAGCTGTTAACTCTAATGATATCATCACTGGTTCTGAAGTTTTAGTGTGCATGCCATTGCCTGGGACACTTGTTAAAAGAACAGATTCCTATCCTCACTACATCCCTAGGTCTGAGATCCACTGTTATCTCCCTTTTTTTAACTAATGCTTTTGGTTACTTCGAACTCACAATGAGGTACACTGATATAGATTACCTGGGATCTATCATCAAAAGCAACATACTATCTTAAGACATAATCGTCCCTCTGAATAAAACACTGATGGAATTTATTTAAAAATTGTATGTTATATCATGTTATATCCTGGATTTTTATAGGATGAGAATATAAGAAAAGTATTTGTGGTATGTTTTAGTATCTTTTATAAAATTCTACCTGAAAAACAGTTCTCCATTGTTTTACTCAAATTCCCCAACAATCAGTTCCCCCCCTTGAATTTAATGCTAGGATAAAATCTGTCTTGTTTTAGGGGAAAAGTTGTCTTGTCTCATTAGATAACAAGATCAATACAAATTTTGTATATTTTTGTCTTAGTTGTTAGGATATTCGGAACCAATTCAATGCTCAACTATATTAATATATCCCAGCTGTCAGGCACATCCATTTGCCTGTTATTTTTTAAATGATTGATTGATTGATTGAGTAAGCCATCTCAAATTCCTGCTTTCAAAAAGTATCAGTTACACATAAGTAAAAATTTAACTACTCATATTCTCATCATGGAAGATTATTAAGTTTTAGCTTGTGGCTACTTGAAAATAAATTTGCCAAAAATATTGCCTTTTGGAGCATGTTTTAACTAGCTTTGTACTTTTTATTTACATTTAGCTTCATCAAACAGGATTATTGAAAGGATATTCTCTGGGGCAGTAACAAGGTAAGAAAAAGCATTTGAGTTTTAAAATGAACTACAAGTAATACTTTAACAATGTCATTTTAGCAAGGCTTCCTGCATAATTTGTCAGTGCTGTAGGTCAGATAATACCTACAAAACATGCAGTTGTGGCTTCATACAAGATGGCGGTAATTCTTTAATATATGGGCAATAGTCCTTTATCTAAATACAGGTAACAGTATTTAACCTGCTGATTATTTGTATTCAAATTAGAAACCAGATTTCTTTCTTCATATCTACAGATGCTTTCTGATTTCATCTTCTAGGCATTTGAAAATAAGATAGGCAATGGAAGGGGTTGCCCTTTATGAGGTTTCCAGCATTCTATTTTTTTTTTAACTTAATTTCCAAAGAAATGTTACTTTATTTCTTAGTCTCTCATAGTACTAAATTTATCTGAGTAATTGCTCAGGAAACTTTATAACCATGTGTTTTCTTCAGGGGAAAAACAGTACAGAAAGAGGGAAGAATGAGCTATGCAGATTTTGTTTGGTTTTTGATTTCTGAGGAAGACAAAAGGAACCCCACCAGGTATGACTTCTGAGTTTCCTTTGCCAAGATTTTAAACACATGAGCAAAGCTTGAAAAATTCATGATGTATACTAGTGAGTGCCAGCTCAACTAGGGGTGCCAAGATGGGTTTGACTTAGTCTCTGCCCTCAGACTGAATGTACAGCCACAGTGTATCAAGAGAAGTGCTCTTACCCCTGGAAACAAAGGTGAAGTGACATGTGAGCTGGCCCTGAAGGATATTAAGCATTTATATGGAATATGGGAATAGATACTGTGGATTTTAGTTGTTTCATGATCTTCCTTGTTCAGTAGTAAATTGGAGAGGAAAGAAGAGCAAACTGTGGATGACTAGTATATTAGAACACACCCTCATTCTCCCGGTTAGAATCATCTCTCCCTTTCCTTGGCATACCTTGATTTGTCGCTGTGAGTTTATCCATCTGTTTCTTATACCTCTTTAACACTGTGTTATACAAGCTAGGAATAAAAAGAAGAGAGGGACACAAAAATCTATGTCCCTCTCTTCTTTTTATTCCTAGCTTGTGTAACACAGTGTCCTGCACATAGCTTCTGCTCAGTACCAAGGGAGGGAGAGTCTGCAGTCCCTGATGCTGCTTGCTGGCATTACTGACTCAGCTGTCTGCATGTTAGTTCAAAAAGTTATCTAAATGTTGGATCTATGGTTTGGAAATCATTGAAATGGAAATAAAACTAATTTATTTCATGGGCAGCATGTTGTCCATTTCAAAGATAGTAATTTGTTGTTCATGTAGACAACTTAGAAAACATGGCAGAAGAACAAAGCAGAAGAAAATAAATTTTAATACTGATAATTCTAACACTCAGAAAAAGACACTTAAAAATTGGTATGTGTTGTACAGTCTTTTTCATATAAACTTTTACATTCTCTTTGGACATGTAGGTTAATTAATTCCATAGGATTAGATTTAATCCTTTGGAATGTTATCTCCTAATATCCTCTAGTAGTTTTAAATAGTTGTAACATCCACTATATTTTTCCTTAAAATAAATTCCCCAGGAAAGGAATTGCTAGGTTAAAGGGTGTAGACATTTTTAAGAGCATTTATAAAAACTATTAAATTGATTTTCAGAAGAACTATCATTTTATACCTTTATCAAGAAAGTACTGAGCATATTTCCTATAACTCTTATTCACACTAGGTATCTTCCTCTTAAAAATATTTTCAAATTTGATAAGTAAAGAATTTAGTATTATCTTTTTTGCATTTCTTTGATTGCTAGTGAGGCTGAATTTTTTTTTTTTTTTTTTTTTTTTTTTT